TTTGAGTTTTTTTTTTTTTTTTTTTTGTCCATGATGTCAATCAACCGAAATGAACTCTGCCTTTTGATACAATGAATCAACTTGTTGCATGTTATTCGTTAGTCGTGGGGCTTATTATTTGGTGTTTGTTGATATTTAGGCTGCTGAGGCACAAGTTAATAGACTCTGCGTTGAAGCCCAAGAATGTATTGTTATGGGAAGATGGTTGGATTTGGCATCTCTAATGCTGACTTCTGCTGACTTGATATTTTCAAAGGTTTCTGAAAAAGGTAAATATAGTTTGGAATTGAAGAATAAGAACATAACACTCCTGGATTTTTTTTTTCTTTTTGGGGGAGGGGTGATGATTGCCTTCTGTTCAAGAGTTGAAATTGTAGCAGAATGAAGGTAGTTGAGGTTGCTTCTTTTATTGTTATTATTATCGTATGAAACTTTCAAGTGGAATAATAGAAATGTCGTGTGGAGGAAAGAAAGTGGAGGAGAGAGAATGTTTCATCCGTCTAACTGATTCAGTTCTTTTCTTTTGGAACAGATATGGAGTGTGTATTCACTGTTATCTGTAATCTTGTCACAAAGTCTGGGAGTCAAAAAGAATTGTTTGAAATGGCAGAGCTTATATCTTCAAAGATTGGCCAACAACCAAATGACAAACCTGCATTGCGCTTAAAGATGTAATGCATCAAATTTGTATATTTTGATTGTATGATTTGGTCTCTTTTTTCCTTTTCCCTCAAGTTTTCCTCTTTTACAGCTTGTTCAATCTGTACAACTTACTTGAGGATCCATATTGTCGGTTCCATGTTTACATGAAGGCCCTAGATTTAGCTCTTAAGGGGAAGGTCCCTGAATATATACTTCCATCATTAAAAAAGATGGAGAGTTTCTTGAGAGAGTGGAATATTGGAATTGTAGAGCAGAGACAACTTTTCCTCGCCGTCGCTAATGTTTTGAAAGAAAGTAAGAGGTATTACAAAATGAATTATGCCACTAAATAAGTGCCATTTAATTATCCTTATTACGTTTTACTTACACTATTTGTTACCTCTTTCTTTTTTCCTTTTGATATGAGGAACGTGTTTACGCTCACCAATAATTTAAAACTTAATTTGTTGTTGTTATCTTCTCTTTGATTTCAGTGCCGCAAATGATTATTTCAAGTTCCTTACCAAATACTTGGCGACTTTCTCCGGTGAAGATGCCCATACCTTGAGTGAAGCAAAGGAGGAAGCTGCTCATGCAATTGTTGAATTCGTAAGGGCACCAAACATGTTTAAGGTATTTTAGCATCTTCTGTTGTGAATTATATTTTCAAAGATATTTTAGTATAGTTCAAACAACTTATTGCATTGTTACAATTCCATTTGATTCTGTATCACATCTAGCACTAGGGGTCTAGGACAACTCTTTTGTTGGTCAATTTTTCTGTTCATACTTTGATGAGCTGTTTTTTCACTATCTTGTTACTTAGCACCTTGGAATGGTATTTTGGCTTTAGATTGATGGGGCCAACTGTTCTATTGGTTTTATCTGGTATACATTGGGACCTCATAAGAACTTGCCATTTGGCAGGGTTTATGAGGTGAAGCATCTGTGGTTTACTCTTGGTCTATTTGAGATTTCCTCTAGCTAGAAATCCTCCTGTCTCATTCTTTATAGACTGGAAAATATGAGAAAGCATTTTGCATGAATGTTTAGTTAAGTAGCCAATATCTTTTTGCTGTTTATGAGCTCAAAGATATCACAGTCGAAGATGTTTGGTAGGAGAATACTGATTCTTGGAGAATTTTGGCTGGGTGAGGAAATGGATGATTTGAGGGGACTTGTAGAGAAAAATTGAATGATGTTAATCCTCGAAGAAATGGTGATAATTGTAAGATGCTAGTTGGGAAGTTGTTTGCGAGATCGAGTATTATTTTTCACATTGATGGTTTGGGCTATGTTTGGTTCCTTTTTGTACTTTAGATGGTTTAATTTTCAATAATTTCTTCTTTCTTCTTCATTTTCATTGTGAGGATCTCATTCATTTTCTCATGAAATGTTTCCCGTGTTAATTGTTGTTGTTTTCTGTTGAAAAAACTATGAAAATTTTCTTATAAAGTTCTTTGGACTGCATGCAAGTATTAAGGATGCATTTTTTTGGCTTGTTTATTTCTATTGGGTACTTATTGAATTATAAGAGAATATTTTACACGATAGCTTAATTCCGCATTTGTGTTTCAAATTTGAAGCTCATTGAAGTGTGATTTCTCTATGTTTGCAGTGTGACTTGTTAGACATGCCTGCTGTAGGGCAACTGGAGAATGATGCCAAATATTCTTTGGTTTATCAGCTTCTGAAGATTTTTCTGGCTCAGAGATTGGATGCTTATTTGGAATTTCAAGCTGCAAATTCTACTTTATTGAAAAGCTATGGTAAAATTCTCAAAGTTTACCTCTAAAAATAAGAGCGAAATTTTTTACTCATACTTGCTGGATGTATTCTTGACTCTGGTGTAGGTCTCGTCCATGAAGACTGTATAGCAAAAATGAGGTTATTGTCATTGGTGGATCTTGGCTCAAAGGAATCTGCCCGCATTCCATATGCTCTCATCAGGGACACACTTAGGGTAGATATACATTACCTTTTACAGGATTTTCTTTTAAATTTTATTTTGTGACTTGATTGTGATCTATGCTTTAGATCAATGATGATGAGGTGGAATTGTGGGTCGTGAAGGCCATTGCTTCCAAATTGATTGACTGCAAAATGGACCAGATGAATGAAGTCGTGGTTGTGAGGTGTGCTAGACTGTATCCACATGGCTGCAATTCCCTTTTTTTGGTTAGCCTAAGTTTATTTAGAACTAATAGCTTTTGGATGCTCGTGTGCAGCCGTTGTACTGAGCGTGTATTTGGGCAGTATCAATGGGAAACACTTAGGACGAAGCTAGCTACATGGAGGGTAACCTTTCTATTTTGTTTCTCATAATATCAAGATAGATAATATCTCATTGGTTGTCGAACTTCCTCTACATGTGCAACACTTCCTTTTTAGCAGGCAACTTGAAAATTAATTCTGTAGTCTTGACATCTGGATACCTAAATTTCCATTAGCAAGGACAATGAGTAGTAGTTCTCTGCCTTTCCCTATGATTTTCTGTCTTAATAACACTACAATGGACGATACTTTTGCAGGGTAATATTGCGAATGTGATTGGCACCATACGAGCAAACAAAATAGTCGATGATGGATCACAGGCTGTGCAAGGTTTGGCAATTCGCTGAAGAGTGGAATTTTTTGTTGATCTGTAAGTTAAATCGCCTACCGTTCCTGATTAATACTAGGAGGTCTCATGTTCTGTTCAATCCTCTGAATTTGTTCAAATTTTGACATGGAGAACTACATTTGAATAGGAGCTGTTGGTTTACATAGTGGACTGTATCAATCATCTACACTCCAGGACTTTCAATCGGCTCTCTGATCTTAATTTATTTTAGTGGTATTTTTTGTTTTCATCCCACCTTAGATCAATTCGTTTAAATATAGTTTATTTGTTTGGTTAATAATAGCTATGGTTGTTCTTTTTCTATAGTTATGTGTCCATGTCATGTCTAGTTTAGACATAATTAAACATATCTTTGTTATCCATGTCTGATCGTTGTGGGTTGGTCAGTCCTGCCCTTGTGAACATATAAATTAAACCTGGTTCTCTTCATCAAGCTTCAAATGTCCCATACTTGGAAAATGGGAAGTGTCAAAATGTCCCATGGAGATGCAACCCCTGGGGCGATGTGCCTTGATCGATCGGGACATTCTTTCCCCGTATCTGGCCCCAAACCCCGATCCTTAAAAATAATGTTATGTATATTGCTAAAAAGAAAGGATAATATTTCAGATCTAAAATAGAGAATAATTTCCCATAGAGAAATTGGATCGTGTGTAACTTTTTCCATGGGAAATTCCTACCATAATCCCAACCAATCCAATAAAGGACATTGTCTAACATTGTTCCGTCCAGTTCGTTATGCCCCTATCCCCAACTCGAAAGATGGTACTAAATAATGAACATTAGGTGATTTACCATTTTTTTTTCTTTCAAGCTTAGTGAGGTGTTTCTTAAACTTTGCAATTCTGTGCAAGTCATGTTTTTGAGCTTCATGTCAAGAATATTAAAGTAGCATGGATCGACTCTTTGAATCAAAGACTTTGAAAGTCTTTTTTGTTTTGAGAGTTTTAATATTTGTGAATTAGAAATTCATATATTAAAAAGATTTTTAATTCCAATTCACTAACAGTATAAATAGAATAGAAGTTATTGGAAAGTGAAAAGATAACGATGCTAAAAATAAAGAAATTACTTATTTGGTCGATTAGGTCTCCTCAATAATTCATATCTAGGCATATACTATATAAGAAGGTTATCAAACCAATCTTAAATTGTCATATCTTATCTTTGTAGTCGATATCTAATTATAACTAAACTATGAAAAAAACATCATACTAATAACTATACGAATAGAATTTGCATACCTTAAATTTTAGATTTTTAAATTTATTTTGTAATAAACCTTAATAATTATAATCAAAGAAATGATTTAATTAAAATTATACAAAAATTTAATTGATCAAATTGACTAATTAATTATATATGATCTAATTCAAATAGTAAGAAGAAAAAAATGTTTAAACACCGCACTAAAATTTTATGTTGGGTTCTTAATGTTTTGATTTTTTTTTTTCATATCGAAGTGAAATGTTTAAACTGATACAAATTAAAGGCACTAACTTTTGTTGAGATCCATCATCGGCTTCAATATTACAAACCCTTCCTTTTTATTTGTGTTCTTACTGAATTGGGCGGCTCTATTTCTCAATCTGAAAAAAAGAAAATTAGGGTTTAGTGCAAAGCCCGCGATACTCAGAATGAACAGCAAGCACGGTGCTCCGAAGCACCAAAACAAATACGCTTGGAAACCCAACGCCGGCCGCAAAATCAACGAAACGGAGGTTGGAGGCAGATTCCGGCCACTATCCGAGATCACTGGAGTTTGTCTTCGCTGCAAGGACCAAATTGATTGGAAACGCCGTTACGGCAAATACAAACCCCTTTCTGAACCTGCTAAATGGTACGTATTCCTTTTCATTTTCTTTCTTTCTTTCTTCTATTTGTTAATTTGTCTATCTCTCTGAAGATGGGTTGCAAATTTTAGTTCTCGAATTGATTGAATGTATCGCAGTCAACTTTGTTCGAAGCGGGCTGTTCGTCAAGCGTATCATAATCTCTGTCCTGGTCAGTTTAATTCTCAGTATCTCACTTGTTTATGTGGGTTTAATTTGTTCTAAACAAATAATACTTCTAGGGGGAAATATGTCATTATGAACAGGAAGTTGTTCCACCCCTTGTTTATGTGTATCTTAAGTTTTCTACCTGGAACTGATGTTCATGTAGGCTGTGCCAAGCAGCAAGGTGTATGCGCTAAGTGTCGCTGTCGTGTTGACCAAACCATTGGAAGGTGTGTTTATATTCATTACTGAATGTTAATGCCTGAATCTTGTGCACTGAATCTATATTCAAATTTTGATGTCTTTAGCCAAGAAGTTTGTGAAATATTAAGGCCTTTCCATCTGCCCCTGTTGTAGGGATATTTCTGAAGTCGAGGCTGAGCAAAAGATGCTTCAAGAGGTATGATTTGGCACTCATTCGATGGTGATAAATTTTCAACTATAGCTTACAGATTTGGTGATTGCTGCAGGCCATAAAGAATGCTCGAGAAAGGGATAAAAGAACTCTATTACGTGCTGTAAGCTTCCTGTTCTCTTGATTTTGTTTAATTGCCTACAGAATGAATCCATGAAAGAGATTTGGTGAATCAAATAGATTTTTGGCACTTCAAGAACATTCGTCTAGTATTTCAGAATTGAGAGGAGGCTTACGTTTAGCTTTATCACCCCCTATTGTTTTCTGTTTGGGGAAAAGTCTTTTCTCAACCTTACCTACATCTAGCGCTCGTGTTCATGTGAGGACTCGTATAGAGCTAGTCGTAAATAAGGTTAAACTTAAAAGTTGAGTGAGTTGTTTTGGGTGTGAGGAAATTATTCAAGTAGTCCACCGCAACATAGTTGTCGGGAAATTGTAGAAATACTACTAATTTGTATTTAGTAGTAATTCGAGGCATTTACATTTTCAAACTTGTATTCAATTGATATTTGGGGTAGACACATTGTGGTGGCCTCATTAAATAATTTCCATGAGGTGGTCGTGAGATTTTTTATGTTGGTTTGCCCTTCTTCGGTCGGGTCATAGCCATAAAGTCTTGTCATTCTAGGAAATACTGGTTGGTATGTTGAAAAATGACACCGCCAACAGTAGGAATTCATTGTGAGTGTTTTTGGGCACCTCTAGGATTCCTTCGAAAGGAATCTCAAATTGTTTTACCACTTGTTTGTTATATATTCTGTTAATGGTGGCGCTCTATCCCACTTTAGTTCCTCGGTTTATATCTTCATTCTCACTAAGAATCCTTTTCCTCTGTTTGCTTTGTTGAGGGGTCATTCCTAAATGGAGGTTGCCCTATTTGATGTCTTGATCCTTTTAACGTTTTTCTTTGGTGGGTGTGTTTTTTTTTTTTCTTTTTCTCATTCATCTTAGTAAAAGCTGGTTCTTTTTCATATAAAATTGAAGTAGCTTTGTAGCTAAGTATCACATTGTCATTTCTAGTGTGATTTTCTTCTGTCACATCCTTTGTTTTGTTTTCTGCTAAGAACATATCCCCATTCACGCATGCTGATGTACGTAAGACCATCAAATATAGATGCTTGTATATTTACAAGTACATAGCAATGGTTATGAAATTTCTACACCAGCTGCTAAATGAAATGCCCTTGTAGTGTGTTGGTTCCTCTGGTTTTTCCCCCTCTTCCTGCCTGATGCATATTTTAATTCATTTTATCGAAACAGATGGAAAAAGGCAAAAGTAAGACTTCAAACAAGAATAAATCTGCAGATGAAGAAAGTAAGACTGGGGATTCAATTCCTTCGTCAACAGAAGAGCAGGCTGCATTAGGCAGAACAGAGGAGGACGACGACAATGAAAGTACTGATGGCACAGATGAAGATGCTTATGAAGACGAAGATGAATGTGAAAATGAAGAGAAGGATAAAGATGAAAACGAGGAATAGTACATTAATCTTGATTAGGGGTATGATTTTGGCATGAGTCGTTTGATGAACAATATCTATTTGAAAGGCAATTTTGATGGGTCCTTTTGTTTTTAAGAGTTCGTTTGCTTGTACTATCAAGATCTATCGTTTTATAAAAAAATTTACAACACAGCCTGATAAAAATTTGGGATGTTGAGATTTGCAAAAGTATTTGAAAACTGAACGAGTTCTACGGGAAAACTTGGAGCAATGCTGAAAAGAAAATTTTTCAAAAATAAAAAGTAGATGGGAGTGGAATTTAGCTATATTCATTCAATGTTCTTGAGTTGTGAGAAATTAAAGAGCAACTTCGATGGTGTTTGAGATTTGAGCTTGTGGAATGAGACGAATTTGAGCAATTGGAATTGGAAATGCAAAGGCAAGTCATAAGAGATCGAGATGGCCAATATATTGCTTTGATTCCAAAAGGATGTACTTGAAGAACCAAGTCAACTAAACACATTGCTACTACAAATGAAATCAACCATCAACTACATTACAATAGGAAACAATAACTAAACGATGTCAAGGTCCTACAACTTAAATCTCACCAAGCTCTCTTTGTTCCAGGCAAATCTGGCTAAGTCCACAATTGGGCAGTGGCAACAGTAAACCGTGTTAGGAGTGATGGGAAGAAAATGCCAAAAAATTCAGGAATTAGTTTGTTTGATCTTCTCCCAAAAAATCAATGTGGTTTTAGGATGGAATGAAATTCTGTTCTGTAGTCAATACATGAATGCTTTAATACCAATCCTTATCTGCAATTGAAGTGTGGATAGAAATCTATGCTCAACCTGGCCCTGTTGTGAGGGGAAAAGAGTTGAAACCAAAAAAGCTTTCGCTTGGCTGCGATCAAGTCTGTTCATCTTTTGCACACAGGCGCTCTAAATTGGCAAAACAACATCAAATCAGAACGACTGACTGAAAGATTACATGCGTTGAAGGAAGATAATTCACAGATACAATAAACAGATTCAACAAATATCTCAGACTGTTAAATACAAAGTAAATAACTTGCTGTAGATTTAGAGCACATTCCGGCCAAACAATCACAAAAAGGTAATAAAGTTCAGGACACGGTTCGAAATGACGTTTTTTAAGATTTACAATAACTTTTCTGAAGCTCTTCTCAAGTCTTCGTATTAGGAAAAGCATTGACTTGGCAGACAAATATTTTTTTATTGAAGAAGTCAACATCCTTAAAATTTCCTTGACAAATATCTTCAGGGCACTCGTAGAAATATACATAAATATACGTTGGATTGGTGCTTTAATTAGACTATGATATTGCGTAGATAAAAACATATGCATTTGTCCCATCAACATCAAATTCTAGTTAGACTGACAATTAAAAACAGAAATACGAATGGAGTGCAGGTTAATATAGTGAGAAGAACATACTGAGGTACTCGTAAGCCAATATCATCGAGGTTCCCCAAGCTGACATGCTGAAAAACCGAGGACCCAGCCCCCTATAGAGGCCTTTCCATCCATCCTCGGCGATTAAGTTTTCAACAATTTGTCTTGCTGTCTGCCCTTTATCACCCATCACCTATGAACAAACGTAACCTGTTAAAATATAAAACTCCAGTGTAGTAATAGCAATATCGAGGTGATATGAACCTAGGACATCAATCATACAAGATAAATTTCAAGAAGACGTAAAAAAAATGTTGTTCGAATTATCATAAGATATTGAAATTCATTCAACATTAATGAAGAATCAAGTTGTATTTATTCTTGGATGGTTACAAATTTGGGTGGATGGTAATTTAGAGTTATGGTGTTTCTTTCATGTATTTTAGATGTTGCAATTCATTCAACATTAATGAAGAATCAAGTTGTATTTATTCTTGGATGGTTACAAATTTGGGTGGATGGTAATTCAGAGTTATGGTGTTTCTTTCATGTATTTTAAGGCTTATATACATAGCGGCTAATTATGATCATAAAGTATACATAGTGGCTAATTATGGTCCTAAAGTATGAAATTTACTACTCTTGGAATGTCTCAGAGAAGGTTAAAGAGTTTTCATTTTGAGGCTATATAAAGCCATGTATGTTAACTTTGTAAAATAGACTTAGCCCTTGCTAAAGGAATTTGCTATATTTTTAAGCTTTATAGTTTAGATGACATGTTTAGAATCATTCAAGCTTTACATGATCGATCTTCCTGGTAGAGTGATGCGAATCTCAATCAAGTGTTCTTACCTTGAGATATTTGATCAACAAGATAGTCTGAATTTTACTTTCCCTTGGAGTGATTCCTTGGCATTCCTACCTTTTCCTTTAGTCAATGACTAAATTTTCTTTGCATGTTGCTCGTGAAATTATTCGAATCCCAAACAAGTGTTCTTGCCTTTGAGATATTCAATCAATAAGGTAATCCAAATCTTACTTCCCTTCTAACGGTTCCTTGTTATTTGGTATAAGAGCTTTCCCTTGTATTGATTCCTTATTCCTTATTACTAGGCCACACATAGGTGACAGATTCAAAGTCAGAAAGTCATGACATGGATGAAATCAAGCCAGACCAAGACCAGATAAGACCCTTCCATATAAAGAAATCTTAACAAACAGAAAAGCTTCCAGAAATTCAAGTTTTGGCACGGTATATTTTACCCCTTTTTAAAATCTATGGGTTTTTTTAAAAATAAAATATTTGTCAGTTCTTTGGAAACTTAGGTGCATTTCTACTAATCTCAAATGCCCAAATCCTACTAACATGTCACTGTCAAGAAACTCAACACATATCTTAGATAGGTAACCAAGAGACATTAGAATAATAATTAGTCTCACTGCCATCCTTCACAAGATCATATATAAGGTATTATATTTAACAAGTAGGGAGGTTGTTGCGTCTATAGCTCCCTCGCCCCGAGGGGCCTTTGTCAAAGCCAAATGGTTTTGGATTGCGCAAGCAAGGCCAAAGCTAATTGCTGGAGAGTTTTTGAGTTTCTCCACAGGACGATATACAAGTACAACCAGTAGGTGAATGCAATGGAAAGCCATACTTGAGTACAGCTTCTTTCATATAGTGCAAGGAACGCACGACTAAAGCAATCAAACCCACCAATCCCCTCATTCTAAGATATATATAAAAGGATGGATCTTCAACAAATCACTATAAAGATATAAATATCTAAAACATTTGGTTTTTAAAACTAAGCTTATAAATATTACTTTCATCTATGTTTTTCCTTGTTTTGTTAACTACTTTTAACAAAAAAAAAATTCAAAATAGAAGCCGAGTTTTGAAAGCTAAGAAAAGGTAAAAAACTGGTTCTTTATTTTTGGAATTTGACAAAGAATTCAAATGTTTTCTTAATAGATGAAAACTATTGAAACAAAATTATGAGAAAACACACACCTTGTTCATTGGAATATTATAAACCTCCCAACAGAAAAGGGAGTCCTCGGTCTTCTCTCGATAAGGAAGAAGAACAAAGCTCTCCTCGCCAAATGGATATGGAGATATCATCATGAAGAAAAGGCCTTATGGAGAAATCTTATATAGGCTAATAAATATACTCCTACATCAAACAAAAATCACCCCTCCTTCTACAAAAGGGTCTTGGAAGTCATAAAGAAACATCAAAATCTCATCACCAACCGAACTCACCATAAGGTGGGGAATGGGGAAGCACATCATTTTGGACCAACTCATGGATTGAAAACACCACGCTAGCCTTGAAGTATCCACTTTTCTACCGGCTCTCTCATAGCAAAAAAACCACGATTAAAGAAACGTGGAATGTTGTCAACAAATTTTGGGACCTGAAGCTTGGTAGGAATTTAAAGGATAATGAAGCAAAGGAGCGGGCCGAATTAAGCCTTAACCCTGTGGTATTGTCAAACAAAGAAGACTCGCTAACTTGGCTCCCCAGCGCTGACGGGGTCTTTTCTACAAAATCCTTGATGATGGACGTGGGGGAAGAAGTAGAAGCAACAAATCCCACACTAGCAAAAACGATATGGAAAGGACATCAACCTAAAAAGGTGAAGTTCTTCCTTTGGGAAATAGCACATAAGCCATCAGCACAAGTGAAAATCTTCAAAAAAAGAATGTCTTACATCACTCTCTCTCCAAATTGGTGTCCATTATGCAAGAAAGAAAACGAATCACAAAGTCTATTGTTTATGCAATGCACATACGCTCAGAATTTCTAGATAACAATTCTCTATATATTCAGATGGCATCTCACATTTCCTAGGGAGGTAAAGGATTTTTTGGATATGGCCTTAACGTACCACCCTTTCAAGAATGCAAAAGCCCTATTATAGAAAAACTTCATCATGACTTTCTTTTGGAATTTGTGGAAAGAAAGAAATCAGAGAATATTTGCAGAAAAGACACAAACCTATACAAAACTTTTCAATGTTGTTTACCAAGTTGGTGTAAATTATCTAATATTTTTACTTCCTATAGTTATACCTCCCTCATTGCAAATTGGGAAGGTTTTTTTGTAAACACCATGGATTATACATCCCTCTTGTAAATTTCAATCATCAATGAAATTGTCTCTTATAAAAAAATAAAAATAAAAATAATGAAAAACAAGCATAATTTTCAAAAACCAATATCCATATAGTTATCAAATTGGACCTAATTTTAATTTTTTTGCAATTTCCTATTTAATATCATGCTCCTAGCCGCTAATGAGGCTGTTACATAATGATCCAATGAGGTGAGTGCGATTTATAATCAACTTTTGAGATAGTCAATAATCATGGGGACTTGACCTTCCAAGGCTAATGAATTACCGAGAAAAGTTTGCCTAATATAGAAGGGGTTTGGATATTCTTCAAGGCCACTAAAAGTGCTAGATAAGGTGACTCTTCCCTTCCACCTTTCCTGTTCATTTGTTGGGGTTTGGATATTCCAAGTAGTCTTTGGGAAAAAAGTAAAACATAGAAGCCCAATAGCTGGTCTTTGGTTCGGGAGATAGGATCCATCATACTAATTTTCCAATTAAAAGAAGACACCACCTTTTTCCCTTTTTCCCTTTTCCCTTTTCCTTTTTTTTTTTTTTTTTCCTTAAATTTTAGGAGGGATATTTCATGATTTAGTCCGTAGTAGATTTTAAAGGAGGGATTTAGCAAATAGAGCAAAAAGTTCTAAGCTGGACTAGTAGTTTCAGTGGCAGTGTCAAATGATCAAAAGTTCAAGGGCGATTACTTTAAAAAAAAGGAGAGATCATTTACGGTGGTGAGAGAATAAGTTAATATGCCTGGATCCTCGGACATGGCACTCTTGGGGAAGGTTTTTCCAATCCTAATACCTCTGGACTATCGTTGCTCTTGGGATTTGCAATCTCAGAAGGGAAGAAGCTTTTATGTCCAAATGAGTTCTCAACACCCAAACTAAGAGCAGTTTTGAATAAGTGAATTAAAGTAGAACAACACATACCACAAATAAACCCCCAAATTAAAAGGTCCTCTAGTTGTTAGGAATACAAAACATAGGTTAATTACTAAAATGCTAGATTGTACTTCTAAACACACAAAAGGAACGCTGAACTCTACATCTAAATCCCAGGAACCCTCACCCCCAACATTCTAATGAACCTTCCAGGCCGTCCCAGACAAGTATTCCAAAAAAAAGGCTTTCCTTTTGGAAGATACAAAAGCACCTTCTCCATTATCGCCAAACCCTACTTAGAACCACCCCCACTCTTTTAGGGTGTGTTCAAGATAGCCTTTTAGCATTTTATTTGGCAAATCAAACTTCAGACCAACATGGAAGTAATAAAACTTATAGATTGTGCATTTCAAAATTTCAGGCAGAAAATAGAGGCTCATAAGGTCTTGCCTTTCATGCAGCATTCTTGATGCAGTAAAACCAGTACAACGCATAGAGTTTTAGCAACATCATAGACAGAATCTGTAGGATTTTGCAATTATAATTTGATAGCAGAACTTCCATGACAGTAGAAACAGCAAACAATATTTGGTATCAAATAAGTTAATAACAAATGAACAGTGAGCCAGTGAGAAGAATGGTTTGACGTGAACTAGGTTAACAAGTACCTGTAAGCGAGTCTTAATAGTGTCCAATGGCGTCGTAATGCAGGAAGCTGTTGCACCTGCAATTATTCCACCCGCAGCTTGAACAGAAATAAGTTGGGCATGGCTAGGAGCAAATTTCTCAGCACCAGAGTTTTGGCCTAAGAACCTTCAACGCCACAACATAAGCATTATAATTCCAACGTCAGATAAAAGCAATCAATTCAAACAGAAAATACAGCCGCATTATGTAGTGCAAATAACAACAGTACAGTGGGACCCTCTGAAATCTAATATTAACACCTCTGAGATACAATTGGAAAAAAAAAAAAAATCCTGATAAATGTTGGACAATTCCTAGCATATCATTTCCATATTGCATCCTTTTGCCAGTAAAGCCACAAACTAATATATATAGCTCAAAAAATCCAAACAGAGATCCATTTTAAAGTGCCTACACTGCCAGAAGGAGAATGGTTCAAAACACCATAACCAAAGCTAGAACTAAGGTATATGATAAAGAACGCTGTACATGAAAGAGAGACAAAAGTAATATTGCAGTATCTATTTGATATGTACTCGGAAAAATTACAATTTATTATCAAGAAACTAATAGATTCTTTCATTCAGGAACAAGAAAAGGAAGATGATATTTCTAACCACTTCTAGCAGTAATTCATTTCGTGCAATGATCCAAACTCAACACTTAAAACACAAATGAGGGGAAATTACCATGTCTCACCTCCAGATGATACGTTGACTTGCACCATAACTTGCCCACCATACAGCACTAGATGGAGAGTAGGTCATAACAGATAATCCAAAACCTTTATACAATCCCCGGATCCCATCAGACTTTATCAGTTTACGAGCAACATCTAAACCCCCATTATATCTTGTATTGCTTGAGTATCCTTGAACCATGAGCTTCTGACTAATCTGAGTGGCATATATATTTAAGCTTTTTAAGTGAACAATGAATAAAAAATAACAAAATTTTAACAAAAACTAAACCAAGCCTACAGACCACATCAATTGGAACAAAAACAGCTTGAGAAAAAAGTGATGCAGTCATGCCAGCTAACCCATTTGCTATTGCCGCCTGTGTGGGTTCAGAAAATTTCAATGGCTCAACCATTTTTAAGGTTCCCACTTTGGTAGTCTCCAAAGCAGTAAGGAAGATAATCCTTGCAGGAATCGCACCGGTGATAACAGTGCCAAACCCTCTGTAAAGACCAGGAACCCCATCATTCTTCAGTAAGCCTTTAATTACAGAAAATGCATTTTTCTCGGCAGAATCCTTTACAGCAACCTGCATCCTCGTTTTTACAACAGAAACAGGGTATAGTGCAACTGTAATCCCAGTAAAGAGACCAGCTCCTACGCCATAAAATTTTGCTTTATCAAGCCTGCGGTATGTAGTGTGATCGATAAATAAATAATCATACAAGTACGGCAACTTTGAGCGTGTTCAAAAGTAACATACTTCTGTATTTGCAAATACACAATTCTGCTAATGCATAAGTACAACCAGTACCCATCCACAATGCATTTAGGCTAGAAAAATACATGTAAATTATAATTCATTGAATGCCATAGGGCACAAATGTTGCAAATCAAGATACTAACAATTTCAATTTTCCAGAATGTCCGAGTCAGTTCATACTTCAAAACAAAGGACTCATAGACTAGTACAGACAACTTACGGCTGAAACCTATTCTCCATCATTTTCACAAACCAGCTTAAAGCATCAAATTGCAATGAGTATGTCAAAGCCAGAACCATCCTAGATCTCAAGTTCTATCTTAAAACCTGGGTCAATTCCACTTTAAAAAATATTCCAATTTTTAATCAACTGACAATATCTCTATATTCTTTTCCCGATTCCTGATTATCCATCTCTTTTTCTCCCTCTCTCTCTCTCTCTATCTCACACACACACACACATAAAACTCAACATTGTTACCAAATTTCCAACCTCCTTCGACATTTCTTCTCTTATATGTCATCGAAAACCAACATAGAGCGCTCGATGACTTCTCGATCTACGCATGCATCAAAGTGATGATAGGGAGAACTAAACGAGAACAGGCCACAAAGCCAGATTGGTCAACCAATACTAGCGTGAGTCAGCAATCCTTACCATTCAACGCCGAGACAAGCTACCAAATCGAAGTAAAGAACTGATGTGGAAATACAAAAGATTCATGAAATGGAATGAATCGAAGTAAATAGAAAAATTCCCAGAAAACAGAAGAAGACAAGCAGAGGAAAGGAAATGAAAGACGATCGTACTTGTCCCAGTTAATCTCGGTCTGACCAAGCGACTGAAATCGAGAACTATTCGCATTCATGGCCTCCCTTTATCTGAATCGAACAAACAACAGAAGAATTCAAGAACGTATTATAGTAGTTCGAAGAAGTCAGGAAGGCAATCGATACCGCCGAGAACGATGAGCTCAGCGAATTTAGTTAAAGCTAAAAAGGATGTGAAAAAGGGGAAATGAGTCGAAGAATTCCTTGATTTTCTTCAGAATTGAATGGTTGAAGAGAAAGCAATTCAATGGGAAAGTGGCGTTTTGGTTTTTCTTCTCTTATTCCATATTCTTTCTTCTTCCTCTTCTTTGCTCGTCACAACGAGCGCTCGCCTCGCGCTGATTTTATACACAAATTTGGGCTTTGATGTTCAGGCCCAAATCCAATCACGCGGCGCCTCGTTTTTTCTCACAGGCCCACAAGCCCAACAAGCCCAACCTTTACTTACTATTAATAAAAATATTTTAAAAAACATATTTCCAAACTTTTAAAAAAAATCTAAAAAAAAATATCATTTTCATTCCTTTTAATTTTTAATTGTATTTGAAAAATACCATTAAATTTTAAGAAATTTCAATAATACCTTATAAATTTTAAACCAAATTTGAACCAGTATAATCCAAAAAATTAAAAATAATAATAATAAAGTGAAAAAGACATAAAATGATGTAGGAAAGAGTGGGAGAATGGTTCTTACATGAATGTCAATTCCAACCAACCCAAAGAAACTTTCCCCTGTTCACACCTTCTCTACACCGCTATTAGTCAGAGTAATCTCAATATCATCCCTCACTTTACGCTTCAGTTCTTATCTCTGCTCCTCAAAAATGGAGATATCCCATTGGCAGAGCAGCCTTCATTCGATACTCCTGCTTTCCTTCCTCATCTTCCCTCTTGTAGCCGCAGATCAGACCTGCTCCAATGGACTCTGCAAGGTTTCCTTTTGCCTTTCTTTCTTCTTCTTCTTCTTCTTCTTCTTCACTTCATTTTAATGAATGATTGTGTTCTTAAGGTGGGGGACGGCTGCTCTTCTAATGGAGACTGTGGAGCTGGATTGTATTGCTTATCATGCCCTCCAACCTTCTTTGCCTCCAGATGTGTTCGATCTCTTTACACTCATCCCTTCAAACTTCTGGTATGCATTTTTCTTGCCCTGCTACTCAAATATTCTTGCTGGGTTTCCCTTCAACCACGGTAGCTCTAGTGGAAAATAGTTTCTTGTTTTAAAATCGTGAAGCTCACCGTGATGCCTAATGGGCCAAAATGGATAATATCTACTCGCGGTGGATTTTAGTCATTACAATTGGTATCAGAGTCCGATGGCGGATGGTGTGCCAATAAGGACGCTGGCCCCCGGAGGTGAATGTTAGGAATCACGGTTCTCACAATCGTATGATATTGTCCACTTTGAGCATAAACTCTCATGGCTTTGTTTTGGAGTTCCCCTAAAGGCTTCGAACCAAGGGAGATGTATTCCTCAATAGTGAATTGTTAGATCTCACATCTGTTAGAGAGAAATGAATCATTCCTTATAAGGATATGGAAAACTATCTCTAGCAAATGAATTTTAAAGTCGTTAGGCTAACAACGATATGTAACGGGTCAAAGTGGACAATATCTACTAGCTGTGGACTTGGGTCGTTACAAATGGTATCAGAGCCAAACAGCGGGCGGTGTGCCAATGAGAACGTTGGACCTCCAAGAGGGATAGATTGTTAGATCCCATGTCAGTTGGAGAGGGGAACGAAACATTCATTATAAGGGTGTGGAAACCTCTCCCTAGCATATGTTTTAAAACTGAGAGGTTGACGGTGATACGTAAAGGATCAAAGCGGACAATATTAAGTGGTTGGAGACTTCTATAAAGTTGTTTCCACTCATTCATTGTACTCAAATTCAAATTCTCACTGATGTTTTGTTTCAAAATGGAAAGTTTCCATAATGGGAATCTTGGAAACTCTCCAAAATGCTGATAATCTATCTGTTTTGATGCAGAATAATTCATTGCCATTCAACAAATATGCGTATCTAACAACGCACAATTCATTTGCCATTGAAGGAGAGCCCTCGCGCACCGGAGTTCCACGAGTTACACTTAACAATCAAGAGGACACCATCGCCCAACAGCTTGATGTATAGCTTTAATTAGTGTTTGTTTGTATATGTTGTGAGGTTAATTATTTTCTAACCCCATTTTGCAGAATGGAGTTAGAGGGTTTATGTTGGATACCTATGATTTTCTTGGAGATGTCTGGCTCTGCCATTCCTTTGGAGGAAAATGCCACAACTACACTGCATTTGTATGTTTATATTCCCATCTTTTTTTTAGCTATGCCCGGGCAGATATTAATTATAAATGTGAGGTTGGAGAGGGGAACGAAACATTTTTTATAGGAGTGTGAAAACTTCTCCTTAGTAGACGCGTTTTAAAACCATGAGGTTGACGATGATACGCAACGAGCCAAAGCGAACAATATCCGCTAGTGGGGACTTGGTCTGTTACAAATGGTATTAGGGTCATACATCGGGCGGTGTGTCAACGAAAACGCTGAGCCCCTAAGGGGGGTGGATATTGAGATCCCACATCGATTGAAAAGAGGAATGAAACATTCCTTATAACAGTGTGAAAACCTCTCTCTAGCAGACGCATTTTAACACTGTAAGACTGACGGTGATGCATAACAAGCTCATCTACTGAGGATGAACTTAGGCGTTATAAAAAATGTTGTCAAGATAATATCTAGTGTCAACTGGTCGGGCTTTTCCAGAACGACTGACGATGGCTGACGATAGCCATGTGTTGTGTTCTTTACATTCCTCCACTTGTCATAACATCTCAATTGTTATAGGAACCCGCATTAGACACATTGAAGGTAATAGAGGCATTCTTGGCAGCAAACACCAAAGAGATTGTCACATTGATCTTAGAAGACTACGTTCAATCTCCCAATGGACTGACCAAGGTATTCACGGACGCCGGGCTTAAGAAATTCTGGTTTCCGATCACGAATATGCCGAAGGACAACGACGACTGGCCTCGAGTCAGCGACATGGTGGCAAACAACCAAAGGCTGCTGGTGTTCACATCAAACAGAGCCAAGGAAGCAACAGAAGGAATAGCATACCAATGGAATTACATGGTCGAAAATCAATGTAAGCTACCTAACAAATACCACAATGTGACCATCTGGACGAACATACATTAAAAAGAGCCTAAAACTTTGCAGATGGGAATGATGGAATGCAAGAAGGGAGCTGTCCAAAGAGGGCAGAATCATCAGCACTTGATGACAAGAGAAAATCACTGGTTTTGGTGAACTATTTCCCAACAGTTCCATTCAAAAGACAAGCTTGTGAGCATAACTCAGAGGATCTGGTTGGCATGCTTCAAACTTGTCATGGGGCAGCTGGTAACCGATGGGCTAACTTTGTGGCTCTTGATTTCTACAAGGTTTGTGTTTTCTCAGATCACCCCTTAACCCTTTTCTTTTCATCTCTTGAAACTGACCAAATTTTATGCAGAGGAGCGATGGAGGTGGAGCCTTTCAAGCTTTGGACACTCTGAATGGGGAGCTCTTGTGTGGGTCGACTGACATTCATTCATGTGTGGGTTGAGTAAATTGATACTCATGGGCTTCGACATGTCGCCCAATCTTAGCCCATTAATACTTGTGTCCATCCCACCATTTGGGACAATAGAATCCATTTGATAGCATTAAAATAATTACAATATCATATATGAATAAATGTATGTTTGGGATGTTCTAATGATATAGTTGACTCATGAGACGAGTAATAAGAGTAGATCACGTCCTAGAATTTGGGATGACATCAAAATACTTGAACCGTGTTGTTGGAAACCAAGATGATGAAACAAGATGCAACTTTGTATTCAAATGACTTCGGCCTAGAGTAGAAATAAGGTCAAACCAAATGACTTGCTTTAGAGTAATAAAACATGCACTCATAGACGAGGTATATAATCATGAGTTGTGTTCCATAAAGCCACAAAATCGAACGAATAACAGAAATAGGTCTTGAATTTTCTTAAAGCATCTTAAGTTCACAACACTTCATTTGCTCTAAAAATTAAAAAAAAATATATAATTATTGGGGTCAAAAGTGAGATACAACCACAGATGAAACTCATTATTTAAAATAAAATGAAAAAATTAAAAATAAATAAATAAATAAATTCCTCAATCGCTCCTCTGCATAAAATTTTTTATTCTATTAATTAATTTTTTTTATATATTATTAAAAATTTTAAAAGTTTATTATAATATTTTTTTAAGCATATGATTTGCTTAAAATATTATTTAAAACATTTTGATTGGTGGAGATTAATTTAAGGTCAATCACAAACATATACAAAAAAAAAAAAAAAAAAAAAA